CATCTTTATATACCAAATGGGCTTTAGGATTCTTCCCTTTTACACTCTCTTGATAGAGGTCACAACGATGTTTGGAAGTCCTACATATCTTAGCCCAATGGTTTCCCATTCCATATCTATGGTATACTCATTTGGTCGAGTGTTGTGGTTTGGAAATACCACATCGTCCTCGCCCTCGACCACGGCCGGAATTGGGTCTACATCCACGGTTATAGTGGTTCCCACGGCCGGATGAGTTATAGTGGCCACAACCACGTCCTTTCAATACCACATCTATGGCATACTCATTTGGTCGAGTGTTGTGGTTTGGAAATACCACATCGTCCTCGCCCTCGACCACGGCCGGAATTGGGTCTACATCCACGGTTATAGTGGTTCCCACGGCCGGATGAGTTATAGTGGCCACAACCACGTCCTTTTGACTTTAGGATAATCTTAGTGTCTATTGCCCATTTTAAATAATTATCTCCTAAGAGATTTAGGGCAGTAAAGTACAAGTTGTAATTCAACATCTACAAGCAAAGAGGTTTAAGTCAAAATCATGTAATCGTTAATGTCATGCGGTATTTAAGACCGAACCATGAATCGATTTTACTTAGGGATTTGACTTTTCCTTTTTTCTTTAGGATTAACTTTTCCTCTTTTACTTAGGATTAACTTTTCCCTTTTCCTATTAGGATTAAATTTCCTCTTTACTTTAGGATTAATTTTCCTATTTCACTTATGATTTTAGATTTTAAGATTTCCTATTTTAATTAGGATTTGGAAATTTTCTATTTCTTAAAGTTTTCCTATCTTGAATAGGATTTATGAATTTCCTAATTTAATTAGGATTTAGAGTACAATAGGATTTAGGGTTTTATTTAGGTTTTCATGCTTTCTATTAGGATTTTAAAGTTTCCTATTTTATTGAGGATTTTAAGATTCCCTATTTTATTTAGGATTTAGGGTTGTTAAGATTTCCTATTATCCCTAAGATTTAGAGTTTTAAGATTTCCTATTATCCCTAGGATTTAGGGTTTTAATATTTCCTATTTTATTTTAGGGTTTTAGGTTTTAGGGTTTTAAGATTTTCTATTATCCCTAAGATTTAGGGTTTTAAGATTTCCTTTTAGGATTATCTTTTCTAAGTTTTTCTAGGGTTCATGCGATTTTAGTTTTAGCGTTTCTAACAACTTATGCATGTAATCAAGAAACAATCAATCTAACAACCTAAACAACCTCAAGCAAGCCGATTTATACTAATGGAATTTTCGGATTAATTCTGATTTAGTTTTAGGGTTTTAGGCTTTTAAAGTTTCGGCCTTAGTTTAGGTATTTTTGATTTGCGTTTTTAGGTTTAGATAATTAAAACTTCTCTAGCAACTTAAACAAGACAGGCAAACGAGCAAGCGAAAACAAACAAGCAATCGGATCAAGCAAGCAATCGAATCATACAAGCAAAGCAATCACTTAATCAATCATCATTCGTTTTAGGGTTTCTATTTGCTTAACTTTCAAGTTCAATTGTTGGTTCTTTAGCTTTAGGGTTTTGATGTTACCTTTCACCTTATGGGGTTGTATGGACTAGAACCGGGAGCTAAAGACCTCGGTAACTCACACTGCTGCAACGAACCGCAAACAGTACCACGGTGAACAGTGCCGTGATGAACAGTGTCGGCGATGAACAGTGTCTGCGATGAACAGTGTCGCGATGAACAGTGTCGCGATGAACAGTGTCGGCGATGAACTGTGCCGCGATGAATAGTGTCGGCGATGAACAGTGTCGGCGATGAACAGTGTCGGCGATGAACTGTGCCGCGATGAATAGTGTCGGCGATGAACAGTGTCGGCGATGAACAGTGTCGGCGATGAACTGTGCCGCGATGAACAGTGTCGGCGATGAACTGTGCCGCGATGAATAGTGTCGGCGATGAACAGTGTCGGCGATGAACAGTGTCGGTGATGAACTGTGCCGCGATGAATAGTGTCTGCGATGAACAGTGTCGGCGTGAACAGTACCGCGATTTTTAGGGTTAGGGTTGTTAAGAGCAAACTCGTGCTGATAACGTGTTATAAAACTTGTTGTTGTATTGATTAATGAATGAGGTTTCAATACATATATATACATGATGAGGGGAGACAAATCCCTATTGGGCTAGTAAACCCTAAAGCCCAAAAGCCCACTAAGTATAATATAGGCCGTCATAAGGAGAATCTTCAAGAACATGGACATGGGCCTTCTAGGATATGGATTAGGCCCACGGTTATGGAGTCCATCCAATATGTGATTTATAACAGTATTAAATATATGGAAGAAAAAAAATTGTAAAGCGAAATTGAATGTTACCGAATATAAACATGAACGTGTATAGTAAGGCACGTATTTATTAACTAAATCCTTCTTGAAATAATAGAAGTCAATGGGTGTAAGTAATGGGGGCATTTATGTCATTTAGAAAATGGTATACCCCAGCTCACACGGCAAGTAACAATTAGGTCGATAACGAACAAGGCTCGTGACCGGACCATGACTCGAGTCGACATCCAACGAACTGACATATAAACGGGTTTTGCGTGAAACAACGAATAACACGTTCACACTAAACCTATATTTTATTTTTAAATTTCTTTTTCTTTTATAACCGCAAAATTCGGATTAGAACATCCTAAGAGCATACACAATGGTGTAACTCTGCATCGGGTGTAAGTAATAAAAAAAAAAAATAATGAAAAAGTTGTCTTAGAAACGAAACCCGCGTGTAGAGTTACATTCGGATGTGGGAGGGTTTGGCTTCTCACTTTCTCTCTCTTACATTATTTTATTAATAAAACTCCACTAACACACACCCACCCACTTTTACCACTGCATATGCTCTAATCTATGCGACTCCGGAGTTTGTTATTTGTTAGAGCATCCACAGTGGTATAAGTTAGAGGATAGATGTTAGGGAAATTAAATTAGTAAAATAATGTTAGAGGTTTAGTTTAGAAACTATGTAATAAGAGTTGACTATGAGAGACGAGACTCGAGAGAGGAGGAAGAGAAGGAATCGATTTTGTTTTTCCCCAACAAATAAAAATCATTTTTTCAATAACAAAATTGGAACCAACCAAACTTTGACAGCTGACACTTACACCCGGATGTAAACTAACACGCGACTTCCGACTCCAGGCTCACTATTCTCTTATTTCCGTTTTTTTATTCCTTACACCCGGGTGAAAAATGCCCCACTGTGTATGGTCTTAGTGTGTTTTTTTTCTTTCAAAAAAAAAAACTCTATCCATAACCACTTGGTATTTTTTAAAATGTAATTGTAATAATAATTTTAATATAACTGGTGTTTATGCTTTTTACCTTTTAGCTTATTTAAAAATCGTTTTCATATTTTGTTTTTATGCATTACATTGATTTTTAGAGTATTTTACCGTATTTTGTTTTTGGTTTCGAATTATTTGCCTTTATAAACACCTTTGATGGAAATTATAAAACCTAAGGCAAACCATTTGTTAAATCAAGGAGAATGAATCAAAAGCTTTAGGATGTCAACCCAAAGAGTTCTAGATTTTAGAAATGAAATGTTGAAAAATAATTCAAGAAAACTAGATATTACTTAAATGAGAAAAAGATCGATTCATACATCTCATCTGTCTTCACTTGGATTATATATGGGGATGATGAGCTTACCAAAGAGAAGATTGTGAAATTAGAATCTTGTAAGTAATTGAATGTTTTTGTACAGTTAAAAACAAGTTTATCAATCTCTAGTTGGATAATGCTCAAAGATTTTGATCCAGCCATTTGATATCCGGTTATTGAAAAAGTAGTTTTATTTTTGTTAGGACAAGATGCACAAAAGACCAAATTTGGTTAGATAACACAAATCATGGTTTGAGCGGTTCAACAACTATTGTACGTAACTACTCTGTTTGCTTATTACAGTACTCTTAAATGTAACCACCAATATACTAAAGATATTGTTCGACGTTCCAACCAAAAAATTATATTGTTCGACCAATATATTAACGGTGCAAATGATTATGTGAAAATAAATAACATTTCAATTTTTTTCATCTTAAATGGTGAAAATTAGTAAAATAGTTTTTCAGTTCATTTTTTTTTTAATTTCAAATTGTGCTACCATTTGCATTATAATTTTTTTGTACTAATGTAATGGTTCGGGCGATTAATTTTTGTTTTTTTCTTGAATATTATCCTATAAGACCCAATCCATAATCCAATTTTTACTACTCCGAATAAAATCGAATTCGGGTAAAAAGACCACATGGATGAAACGTTAACCATTTTGTTAAGAGACACTTCTTTTTTATTTCTTTTATGTTTCTTCTTTTTCTTTAGTATCATTTCTAAATTTTGTGCCATATTTCTTTTTATAAATTGAATAATCTCATCATTATATTATAAATTAGATCTATTTTCACAAATATTACTATTTGGATTCTTAGAATAAACACAAATTACTTGAATGAGTTAATGTTATAAGAAAAACATAGAACAATATGTTATATGATTAAATTTGTATATATATAATATGATATATAATCAAATTTCATCTCACGAAAAAGGAGAATAATCACAATCACAAACAGTATGTTAATAAGATATTTTTGAAGTTCAACACTATAATGATCCAATGTTTTCAATCGACATACTATTATTTTCCTAAATTTGCATCAATTTTGTTCTAGTTGACCTATTGACCCAAACAAAAAAAAACAGTATTATTCGATTCAATAAAAGTGTATATTCTAATACGTAGTAATTTTTTCTTTTTTAATAGTAATAAAAACAAAGCGACTTTGAGCAATTGTTATGCTGTCCACTCACACACGCATCATCAATAGATAAAGAATAAAAGAACTCAAACCCGGTCAAAGATATCCCAATTGCTCGTTGACCATAAAAAGGGTATATCCGTCATTTCAACTCTTCCCACGCTTTTTCCTAAGGGCTTATTCGTCTTTAAATAAAAAATAAGACATCCACTGGGCACGTACGTATCTTCTTCTTCTTCGTCTTTAATCAAAACAATTTATTACTCTGATTATTATTTCGCAATTAGGTAAAAAACCACCGGAGTTTCGATTTTCCGATCATCAGCAATCAATTTCTTCGCCGGAGATCACTAAAAACGATCAAATAACAGTTCTGGAATTAACTGAAATCGAATCTAAGAAGATGAAGATGAAGAACAAAGGTATTTTGAATTTTTAGTTTAATTTTTCTAAACCCTAATTAGAGTCTATAATTTCGGCCATTAATGGAGGAATCAGTTTTTCTCTCTCTTTCTCTCGTTTCTATGTGTATTTATTTTGGTGTGTACCGTTGGGGAGCTTGAGAGCTTTTAATGGAGCTCAACTAATTCCAACTGGTCTCGAGGTCTTAGGGTTTTAGCTTCACTGGAGAATTGAATGATCCATGGTCGTTTTCTGAGTTTTCTTATGTTTTCAGGTAGGTGATGAATGTTGAGATCGATTTTCAATCAACGTTCAACGAAGATGGTGATGATTTCTCATAACTTGAATTTGATTTTGGTGATCATAATCGTAATCGGAGGATCTGTTTCTTTCTCCGCGGCTAATTTCACTGAACCTTGTAACGGAAGATGCGGTGGATTGACTCTGCCATATCCTTTCGGATTTTCAAACGGTTGTCGGATCCAATTCGATTGCTCTGCGGTGGAGAAACCGATGATCGGAGACTTTTCCGTCCAAAACGTGACGGAAGACGGTATATTTGTCGGTCTCCCTCACAATTGCACTCGGAAGATTGAAGATATGAGACCGCTATTCGGCGAGCATTTCGCACCGACGTCGGAGAATAGTTTCCTAATGGAGGATTGTGTGAATACAACTGATGGATGCTCTATCAAGCAGAAGTTCTTGGAGAATGTGCTGAATCTGGAAAGTTGCGATTCGAAGGGAAACATTAGTTGTTTTTCCTTGGATACTAATTCAAGTTCGAAAAATTCAGCTAAGTTTTTCAGTATGAAGGAATTGAGGAACAGCTCGTGTAGTTTGTTGTTTTCTTCGATAGCTTTTGAGTCTGGAGGTCTGAATGCGGGTATAGCGCTAGAGTTTGAGCGAGTTAGGTTAGGTTGGTGGTTAAAAGGAAGTTGCAAAAACAGTCCTTGCGCGGTTAACACCAATTGTACAGACGTTGATACTCCTCATGGATATGCGGGATACCGGTGCTCATGTCTTGCGGGTTACCATGGAGACGGATTCATCAAGGCGTGCCAGAGAGGTTAGTCAATCTATAGTATTTGTTTCAACATTTGTAGTCAAGGCCAAGAAGTAAAAATAATCGTGGATTGAGGTGTGAGTGGTTGTAATCTGTCATTTAGAATATATAGATTATTAGTTCTTTAAATGTCTGAAGAGTGATAGAGGATGTTCTCGTCTCTTGTTTTCAAAATTCGCATTGCTAACTGGTTTCCTCTATACTCTTTGCAGCCCTACCGGACTGCCGTGGTTCCAAGCTCGTCTGGCGACATTGTAGATCTAATCTTATTACTATTGTAGGAGGTAATGGTTGCTTTAGTGTTTGTTTGGCGTTTTAAGTTTTGTTCTTTATGGATCTTTGACTAGGTTTATTTATTTGCTATATATAGGAACTGTTGGTGGAGCGTTTTTGCTAGCTGGCTTGGCTCTTTTGTTCTTTTGTAAGCGGAGACGGTCTACTCCTTTGAGAAGCCATTTAAGCGCAAAGCGGCTTTTGTCTGAAGCTGCAGGAAACTCAAGTGTCGCCTTTTTCCCTTACAAGGAAATCGAGAAAGCGACAGATGGTTTCTCTGAAAAGCAGCAGCTAGGAGTAGGTGCATACGGTACGGTCTATAGAGGAAAGCTCCAAAATGATGAATGGGTTGCTATCAAAAGACTCAGACACAGAGATTCAGAAAGTCTTGACCAAGTCATGAATGAGATCAAGCTTCTTTCCTCTGTAAGTCACCCAAATCTTGTTCGTCTCTTAGGATGCTGTATAGAACAAGGCGATCCAGTTCTCGTTTATGAGTACATGCCGAATGGAACTCTATCAGAACATCTACAGAGAGATAGAGGGAGCGGTCTTCCATGGACCTTACGCCTCACTGTTGCCACTCAAACTGCTAAAGCAATTGCGTATCTCCACTCTGCAATGAACCCACCAATCTATCACCGTGACATAAAATCTACCAATATCCTTCTAGATTATGATTTCAACTCCAAAGTTGCGGACTTCGGACTCTCTAGACTGGGAATGACGGAATCTTCTCACATATCAACGGCTCCTCAAGGGACTCCTGGTTACCTTGACCCACAGTACCATCAATGCTTCCATCTTTCTGATAAAAGCGACGTCTACAGTTTCGGGGTTGTCCTTGCCGAGATTATAACGGGATTGAAAGTCGTTGATTTCACACGCCCACACACCGAAATCAACCTAGCAGCTCTTGCTGTTGACAAAATCGGGTCAGGTTGTATAGATGAGATTATAGACCCGATTCTTGACCTGGATCTCGACGCATGGACACTCTCATCAATACACACAGTGGCTGAGCTCACATTTCGATGCTTAGCCTTCCACAGCGACATGAGACCGACAATGACTGAAGTAGCAGACGAGCTCGAACAGATACGACTCAACGGTTGGATTCCACACATGAGCTTGGATTCACCAGCCGGTTCTCTCCGGTCATCTGATAGAGGAAGCGAAAGATCAGTTAAACAATCATCAACAGGAAGCAGAAGAGTCGTTATCCCTCAGAAACAACTGGATAACCTCGCTTCCGTTGAAGAGATTAGCGATAGCTCACCCATCTCAGTTCAAGATCCTTGGTTAAGTGCACAGAGCTCACCTTCTACAAATACATTGCTCGGTAACATTCCAAGGTGATAATGAGATCTCAAAACACTTTTACCACTTTCTTGTTTATATATAAGTCCCTCTTTTGTTTAGCTTTCACAATCGTTCAGTGTTTATAATGCTAAGTAGAGAGATTACCAATGCAGAAAACAGGTTTATACATGAGTTATAATGTAAACGATCTTGAAACAAGATCTTTGAATCTGTACCACATAAATTTTAGTAAGAATCTTCTAATCTAAGGCTATTCGTACATATCAAATAGAGGTTTATCTTAATTTCATCCTTAATCACCAAGTTTGAGAGAGAGAGGGAGAGAGAGGAATAACAAAGCGGACTTATTTGCACGGAATGTTCAAGAGCGAAAATTAGTTTTTGAATAAACTGCGTTTGTGAAAGGAAAACAAATTTATTGAATTTTTCAAAAAAAAAGAATTATTAAACATAGGTTTGGTTAAAAAGTTTTTTTTTTTTTTAAATGAGTGGTTAAATATTATATGGTTGGTTTTGGTTGACTTAAGAAACAGATTATGTAATGTTAAATTGTTTTGATTAGATTTGAAACGCGTTTTCAGCTATTATTGCCTGATAAGTTGGTAATGAATTTTTAGTTAGCCATTTATACTATGTGGAGTAGGAGCCCAAACAACAAAATAATTATAGAGTTGCATTAGGCCATAGTCAACAAATTTGACCAAAACGTTATGTTATTAGAAAAAAAAACTTTTTAATCATCAAACCATTCCTGAAATTTAGGAAGGACCTCTTGTTAGAATTAATGAAATTTCACATTTTTTTCCACTGTATTATATAGTAAAATGTGATAACATATGCTATTAATTGCGTATTATATACTAAGCTTGCAAAGTTTATAACATTTTTAATTGAAATTCAATTAATCACTGAGACATGTTAAAAACTTGGTATTCTTGTCGCTTAAATGATCTACCATTACCATTGGGAGCTATTACAACATACTTATTATATTTGTGTTTACTATAGAAGAGAATATAATTAACCAAATAAACAAAATTTTAACCAAAAACATTTATAGATGGATCATTCAAATGAATCACCAGAAATCCAAACGAACATCATCTAGAAGAGTTATCCATATAGATCATTTGGATGGATCATTTGGATGCATATCCCAAATGAACAAAGGAACATGACATTAGTCAGTTTTGTTTTTTTTTTTTTTTTTCAACGTATGACCTTAGTCAGTTATATTCGGTTTATCATCGTTTAATTGAGGAGTTCCAATACCCGTATATATACTTCTTCATTAAGACTACAGTCATTTTTTTTTCAAACAAAAAATCATTCCTTTTTTTTCTATTGTCGGTCAGTATAATCTGACTAGTCAACACTAAATATTTGAGTCATAACTCATACAACACTAGTCAATACGAAAGATGGCAAGTTTAGTGATTACTTGTAAAGAAAACCTAAGATAATTGAAAAAAATGGCAATAATTGCATTTTTGTACTATCTGATGATATATCCTACGGAAATAGATAGGAACCAGATTTTAATATTAGGTACGATTTCTGAAAAATATTAGAAATCGTTACTCAATCCATCACGGCACCAAAAAGTCTATATTCCACTATGATTTCGCTGAGGTAACTTTTTTGCTGACATTTATCATAATCTTTTTAGAAAATATTATATAATTAATTAAACTGCACATTGGCCCAAGATATACAATAAACATTCTCTATACCGTAGAACTTCTATAAATTAATACTCGATAAATTAATAAACACGATAAATTAATAAATTTGGTCAGTCCCGAGTCGGGCCTATGTAAAAAATAACCAAATTCGATTAGATAATAAGATAATAAGTTTTTTGGAATCCCTATGTAAAAATATAGTCCCAATAATATCATAAATTACTAATAAAGTAAATTTGCATATATATATATATATATATATATATATATATATATAGTTTTAGTGTTTTTCTTAAAAATAACCAAAAGTTTGTCTAAGTTTTCAAATTTTGAATATGCATAATTTTTGTTTTAATAGTCGTACAGGTTTTTAAAATAAAACAATGGATGTCACTATTTGTGGATTTTAATTTATGTATATCGTTTGTATATTGAGAATTCTATAATCGTCGTTATTCGTTGTCAAAATAAATTATTTTCTCTTTGAAATATTAAGTGTTTAAGGGTAAGACTATAAAATTTATAACATCCAAAACATTATTTTTATTTAGATCACATTATTTTATGGGTAATATTACAAAGTAACCAAATTTTGAGTCAAAATTAAGAAACTAACCATTGTCAGTTTTTTTATAGGTAACTAACCATATGACGGCATATTAAAAGACAAAAATGTCCTTGCAAGTTGAACCATGAGCAAGCTTATGCGGAGAAAAGAGTAATAGATTTGAGAAATTTCAACAAATCGCATGAAACGTGTTAAAATAGCATGATATTTATAAAAACAGTGACATTTTATAACGTATAGTTATTCAAAATAGCATGTTATATGAACAAATATCATTTCATTTGAAAAGTTGAACCATGAGCAAGTTTATGCGAAGAAAAAGTCATAGATTTGAAAAATTTCAACAAATCGCGTGAAACATATTAAAATAACACGATATTTATCAAAAAAGTGACATTTTATAATGTACATTTTGCAAAAATAGCATGATATATAAATAAATATCATTTAATTTGAAAAGGAACCGTGCGAAACAAATTAGTAACATGATATATATTATAATAGCGTGTCAAACAAAAAAAATATCGATTAATATTAAAAAATAACGTGAAATTTTACAAAATCTATTCATTCTCACAACAACCATGACCAAAATATAGAAAATGAGTGATCTTTGACAGATCAGATGTATACAGTGGTAGTGGTAGCCGTGAGAAAGGTGGTTATGGCGGAGGTGATGATGGTTTTGGAAGAAGCGGTGGTGGTGTTCGTCGCGAGTGGTGATGGTGGTGTCGTACTCACAAATAGTAACAATGATTTTGTTGTAGTCGTCGTTCTTCCGTCGCGAAAAGGAGAAGAATGTGGTGGGTGATGATGATAATGGTAGATTAAATTAGTAATAATGATTTTATTGTGGTCGTCGTTCTTCCGTCTCGAGAAGGAGAAGAATGCGGTGTCGTAGTCGTTAATCGTTGGAAGTTCTTCATCACATAATCATGTGAGTGTTTGTGTGAATTTTAAAAATAACATGTAATAAATAAATGGGTATAAAAGTAATTGTAATTGAGGAGAGAGTGTGTCTTCTGACATCATGGTTAGTTTCTCAATTCTTTTCATATTCATGGTTAGTTGATGCATATTCTCTTATTTTATCTCGTATTTTTTTAATAAAGTTTTCTCAATTGAAACAAAACTTTCTATAAATTAATATCACTATAAATTAATAAAATATCATGGTCCCAATATTATTAAGTTATAGAGGTTCTACTGTATATCTAAATAATAAAAACAATATAAATATATTTTCAGGCTACTAATTAGACACTTATTAGTTGATGTAAGAAAACACTACATTGATCCTAAAATATATTCTTGTCATCAAGTTTACATTACACGTTGAAGAATTAATCGTAACTTCTTTTCAATATCTACGAAAACAGAGTGCGTTTCGTGTCTAAACTAAACCACTATAGTGTAAAAATGATACAAGAGAATCTAGACTACAAATATATTGGAATTACAATTTCATATATATATTTTCTTATTTTGTTAATTTGACTTTATATCAAATGACACGAGTTTGTATAGGCTCTAAGGACTGCAAAACACTTTTTAAATATTTTGTTTTATTTTTTTTGTCAACCATATATTAGTTGAAAGCTAATTTCTTGATTGGTTATCCAATATGAAGGAAAAGAGATTACAAACATGATTTCAGAAAATAATAATTTAGAAGATCGAGCTAAACAAATCGTCTTTAAAAAATATTAAAGGAAAATAGAAGAAATCGAAAAAAAGAAAGAAGACACAGAACATTCCAAATTCATTTAGTAGATTGTAGAAAGCAGACGATTCTTAATGAGACTATACCATCAAGACTAACTCTGTACAATCTGTTCAAACGCCTGACAATCGATCATTATTTAACAGTCAATCCTTCTTGAAAAGATATTCTTTATAACTCATAATAGAACTTCCATTTCCGAGTGAAGGACGGAGGGACACCTCCGAAAACACTTTACACCCAAATATATTGTTTGATCATTTCCTTGAATGTTCTGATTTTTTTTTGTGGCATTTTTAAAAATGTTTGTGCAGTATTAATTTTATGTAGTGAAATACAGTCTAGGAAAATGTAAATATACTCATATAAATCTATATAAATAAACAAGGTGATACCGGTTGTCTTCTAATATATAAGAGAATCTAGGAAAAAATAATATTTCATCTAATCCTTTTTGTTGTCAATAGTCATTTTGGTTTGTTTTTTAAATTTGATTTTTAGCTAATTTCTTAAAATTTTATTTATTTTTATTTTATTATTTTTTGCTTACATAAGAAAATAGAGGCCAATAAATCATAAACTACTACTACACCTTTGAACCTGTCCTGAACGGTGCCTGCATTTCTTAGATTCTCTATGTTTCATTTTATAATTTTCTCGTAATCTTTAAGAATTTTATTAGATATAATTTTTTTACTCGAGTTAGATATTTTATATGCTTTTGATACACGCCCTTCCTTTTGTGGATCCTATTATAGATTATTTGCACACAATCAATCATTTTGAATTGTGTAACTTCAGATTTTTTATAACTTTTTTCTTTTTGTGGATGTTGATGTATGCAAGATATTTTCTTACCATTTATCATAATCCAAGGGAAGGATGTAAGCAATATACTTTCTTATTAATTAATTAATAAATGATAAAACAAATATCTATTTACTACTTACAATTTGTAACAGTTAACTAAACGGAATTTACGTTCTAAAATTTTACTTAGCTGAAAATCTTTTTTTTTTGTCTTCTGGATTTATTATTTATTGCAAATTATGAGAACTGTTACACAGACGATTCTACAACGGACAATTCCTTCCGACCAATAAGATCCACGACCTCTTTCACCTTCTTCACCTCCTTCTTCATGCTCACCTTTTTCACCTCATTTTTCATGGTTTTTGATGGACACTTCCTTCTCTGTATAGAATCCTAGCGAACGGTTGTTATTGTACATCGTTGGAGATCTTCTATACACTTGCCTTCAATAATCTGCAAATTTATTAATATATCTGGGACTCGAACCCTAAACCTCTAAATGTAGAAATATTAATTAACTTTTGTTCAACCAATAGACCAAAAAACTTTCACAGAAAATCCTTTATATATATTTTTATTTAATTAGCCTAACTAAGTGCCTAATTCTAACACTAGTTGTACACGTCAAGACAAAAAATATCGGAGGGAATAAAGTATATGTAGATGAAAATCCTTTATATATTTTTTTTCCATTAACGCAAATTTTGAAACCATTAAATAGATCCTAATAAAGATCATCTATCTACACATAAGCCTATAGTATCAAAAATATAATTTTTTTTTGTATTTCTCTTAAATAACATCTTGTAAATTTTAGAACCGCAAGATAACAATGAAAATATAAATTACGAAGCCAAAACTATTATTAAGAGACTAAACCACAATCTAGTATTTACAATAGGAGAAAACAGCATGACTCATAAACCGCATTAGGTCTCCAAGGTGAAAAACCTTTGGTCAATGGACCAATGTAGGCAAAGGAAAAAAAGAGTGGGAGAAATTAATCAAGATTAATAATATTCAAATTTCTCAGGTCTTGATAGAGTGGCCAACACCGGGGCTATGACCTGGTGCGGTAGGCCGGAAAGCATCGAGGCCATATATATCCTTGCTCCTCCTCGCCTTGATGCTATTGCTTCCTCGAAGATTTGGTTCACTGAGAGTGCCCTTGTGATGATGATGATGATGATGGTGATGGCTTGAACGTTTCTTACATGAATAATCTTCTCGATGATGACACCTTAAACGACTACTCTGCGCCTCGTCGATGATTTCGCAGATAAGGAGAATACTGAGGAAAAGGTAAACTACACGACGAGTCTTTGCCATATCCAAACTACAAATATAAATAAATATATTTTTTGTTTACTTAGGTTTAAAAGTCTTTGATCCTGAGTAGTAGTAATATATATGATAAATGTGTTATGAAATGCTTAATAATGATTTAGATTTTGAGGTTGAATCTGTGGCTATTTAAAGACAAAGTGGACTTAAACAATTGATTCCGATGTCTTAAGTATATTGATGGAAAACGACCGTACCTTTACTGTTCGTGGAGCATGCAAGACCCCATGATTGTAATCTAGGACTTTTATTTATTATATAGGTAAATATTTTATTCTCGTACCATTAAACTTTGGAAAATTGTTGTTTGTATATGATTTTATTTGAATGACATATTGACATTGTTCTTAATTAGTTATTCGATGTGAATCTAGATGTGGGTTTAAGCAGAGTAGTTGATGCCTATAGATTGAAAATATAAGAAACTATTTTACAAAAAAATATATATTTATATATATAAAAGTATAAAACTATCTTCTTCACTGCAGAATTATAAAATTCAGCTAAAGAGGCAATGAATGCATATCCAAGAACAAGTAAAATGATAGTAATTAATTCATACGTGAGAATATAATGCAAAGTGAAATAATGTTTTAAGAAAAGATGAGACATAAACATGTGAAAACTGAAAAGTTGTGGTGGTTTCGCTAGAAAAAAGTTTGAAATGGTATCGTATATGTTTATATATTTAGTATTTATGATATTAATTGATGGTTAATATTAATGTTCAGCCTCGCCGCAATAAAATGTTCGATATTCAGGGAAAGTTGTAAGCATTTGCATGTTAGTTTTGCCTCTCTGTCTGATATTCTCTTTTTCATTCTTTTGCTAGACTAAAAAACTCCCAATTATTTGATTTTGACGAATTAATTTACTAGACTAAAATTTTTTAATTAGTAATTTTTTTGGTTTGAAATGAAACGTTGTAAATAACGAATTTCATCCGTTTAAATTTTCATGTACACACTGCCAATATTGTGCGTGACGCCGTCATTTGTTTCTTTGTCTTCTTTTCTTTTTTTTTTTGTGCAAAGTTTCTTTGTCTTCTATGCATGATATAGCTAGGAAAATCACCAAATAATACTATATACAATTTTGAGGAACCGTTTTGATAACAGTCCAATCCAAATCACAATAATTGGATATATAAACAACTATCATAATAAGAGCATTTGACATCGACACCTCTCTAAGAATGACACCACACAAAACAAGGCCTTCCAATGTGATACTTTCGTCTGCATAAGTTGGGATAGTACATGAATCACATAGCTGAGTTATAGTCGTCCCATCAAAAACGACTTTTTAAGGATAAAAGAGCGATAAGTTTATATGGGAAGTAAGTTTGTGATTCCAATCAATGAGCAAATTTGCCGGTTTGGATCCTAGAAACCATACTAATCCCAAAACAGAGACATCTTGTTTCCATCAGACATAAGTTTAACAGATTATTCCATTACCATGTGAAGTGAGATAGAGGTTTTCATTTTTCTGAGGTATCATCTCAACTTTTTGGGTTTATATCTAACCTAAAACCTCACTCTATGAGTGAGTTACTGTATTTAGCGATTGCTATTTTTTTGGAAGGTCAACAAACATCTAATTTAGTGATTCCTGTTTTCCGTTGAAAATAACCCATTCTACATCTAATTTATCCAAAATACATAATCCAAAAATTATTTGCCATGTAAAATGATTTAGTTTTAAAGAAACATCTAAACTTCAAAACTTGCGCTTGTACATGTACTGAAAATATATTTGGTCCTTGTAATTGTCTCTCTCATGGAAATATTTAATTTCTCTATATCCAGTAACACAATTTCACAAGTATATTCCCGATTTAAGAAAATAGTAGCCAAATCTTCTCTATACTAAATTTGAGAATTCTGATTCAGTATGTCATTTTTTTCTATCAAAGATATGTATTAAATCGATTATAGATAATAGCGACCTTTTGCAAACTTTGCTAGCAAAGAGTCCGGATGACGGGATGATTAATAAATTTCACAACTTTTTTACTAGAAAAGCCATTCTGAAATCAATAACCATCCTAAACTCTAGACATCCTACTATTTTAACTAAAATAATATTTTCAAGGTTTCTAATAAAAACCTATTCATTACCATTTGAAATTTCACCAAAAATTTGCAATCACATTGTAAATTTTGATGTGATGGTTTTTGAAATTCGAAAACAAGAGATCACATAAGTTGGTATGACTAAAGTCTAAAGCTAGAGTTTTATGACCTAAATTAGTGAAGCTCATAAGCATGAGACTTCCTAAAAATTATAAGGAAATAAGCATCAGGTTGCTGTCTATTGGATCTTGCATACAATCATTGTCCCTTAATATCTTTATATTTCGCTATAATTTTATATATATATATATATATATATATATATATAGTATACCAATAAATTATAATAATTTTATAATTTTGACTTTATATTTCGCTATAATTTCATATGTATCTTAGTTTGTTTTTTTTTTCTTAGGCAAAAAACTAGATTGACACAAATTAAAAGTTTAATTACTAAACTAACTCATCAAATGTAATGGTTAGTTGGGTTATTTTCATGTTTAAAATACTTTTTTTTTTCTTTAAAAAAAGTCAAAAATACGCGTAAATTATATTTCAGCATGGCAAATCAAACTCTAATCGTGATAGATTTATTTGTCCATGACAAATTTTCTTTTGCAGACTTATTTTAGTCGATAGACTTATTTGAAGATAGTTACAACATGTTTATAATCGTGTGATAGCAAATTTGTTAAAGTTAAAAAAAAATAGCTACAAAGACGTACGGTGAGAACATTATTGTTGCGTGTTTCAACATATTCTTTTTACGTTATGACAGATTCGTTTATAGCTTTCAAAAGTCTAATTAATAAACTTTCAAAAGTCTGCCGCTTGGTAACACATTTCCTCTCTTTCATAATAAGTATTTTTAAGGTTTTTGCACAATTAAATTTTCTGTTTTATCCATTATCTATATATTTTTAAACTGTTAGATAGTGAACCGGACTACTTTCTGGGTCACCGGGTCATTGGATCAACCGGGTTCGACCACGAGTTAATTGATTAAAATATATTTAATATATTTAATATTTAAAGAGATTATATAGTTTTTATAAATATAAAAATAAAATATTCAAACTATATTTACAAAATATGAAGTCAAACAATAATAATAAAGTGATTCAAATTAAATTTTTAAATCCAAGTAAAAGTCTAAAACCGTAACAAATATTAAAATAGTAGGAGATCGCCAATGACGGAAATAAACTAATATACCATCGCGAATTCAAAACAACTATCGATTATTTCTTTCACCATTCCATCCATTCTTCTTAGACGGTACAGTGAAGTTTCATCAAAATCTAAAACATCAAATGAGTTTAAGAATTAAAAAAAATTCTAAAAATAACTAAATAGAGTCTAAAACTCTATATTTTATTCTAAAATCAAATGATATTTTTAAAACCCATATCCAGCCGGTTCAACCGGTTCACTGGTCGCGGGTTAATAGTGGTTTTTGTGGGTTTTTGCGGTTTTGAAATTGGCGGATATTAACCCAAACCGGAAAATGTATGGGTCGTGGTTTAACCGGTCGGACCGGACGGTTCGGATCGGGCGTCAAAACACTGATTAGAATATGATGGGTGTAAGAAATTGCATTTTAATTTTTCAACCGTGTGCACCTTTTATTACACTGCATATATTTTGTCGAGCCAGTGCAGTGGAATCTAAACTCTATTTTAATTGGCTCCTGCCTTTTCGGAAGTACCTTGAATGGATCCCACTTAGTTTCTGTACACCACTATTACTTAATGCAATCTTTATTCATAGATTAAAATCCTAATGATTATAAGAAAAAAGAAGAAGAAAAAAAAATTAGTTGGCTACTCGAAATGAAGAGGAGGCCATAGAAGAGGTTTAGTTTATAATAAGCTCATGCGCCACCAAACAAACTCATATATATTTGTGAATTAAATTTGATTTGCAAGGCTGTCGTGCATCTACTACCGTTGATTTCTTAATCAAAAGAAATTGGAAATTTAAATACAAAGTACAAAAACAATTTAATATTAGAGTATGTATAGTGGAATATATTTATTCCAATTTCAAAACTATAAATATTAAACAGCCAAATAAACTGTCTTCGCCTATTATTAGATAACGGCTTTTTCGAGTTTTTTTCCATTAATAATTACAACGAACAATTTGTAATTGTAACACCCCGACCGTCTTTACCAGTGGGTCTCATGTCCTCTCTCGGGCCCATGGGCCTACCCTTGTCCGACAGTCGGTCCGCTACGTCCGCAAGGCTTTAAAGACTTGTTTACCGACTCTACAAATCACCACATAATCTTTTCATGTGTTTTGTCCTCACTCACACAGTTCCGACAATCACTTTTCGGAAGGTCACCTATCCTGAAACTACTCCAGCCCAAGCACGTTTTACTGTGGAGTTCTCTCAGGACAGTTGACCGAAAAGATAAATGCACTTTGGTGACATATGTGGTCAAATCAATTTTTTTAAACTTCTCCGCATGCACCACCATATTTCTGAAACCAGATTGTTACAATAATTGTACTGGTTGTTGAAGCTTACGAAATATTTATAGCTGCTAGATAGAGAATCTTTCAAACACTACTCGAATCTCACTCACCATCTGAATAACTTTATTTTTCTATTTTATGTTTAATTATCATTGTACTTAACGCTTTTTGGTCCAATATAACGTGAGACCATTCAGTTAATAAATCCTATGATATTTGGTTTCTTTTTGTACAGTTAGCTTTTACAAATATATAGAGAAATACCACATGTATAGGTAGAGCTTACCTACCATTTCAAGCTCAAGTTGTGCATTTCTACAATAAATTAAAGGAGACTAGACTGTTTCATGTAATTTCATGCTCTTGTGAAATTCCCGAGCCTTCTTCATTCACGGACCCTAGGTCCCTCGTGTTGATATGGCTTCCAAATGTTAATTTATGAGTGTTTTTTTTTTCATTTTCAGTTATTGATTGTCTTAATTAGTTTTTATATAAGTATTGTACATTAGTATTTTGGAAATATTTTTTAATTTTCTTTATTTTTTAAGTAGTAGGTATAAATATATAATTTTGCTAGAAGAAATACATGATCTTTTTGCTAATGAAAAATACATGATTACTTTTCCGTTAATGGAAATATAGCTTGCAGCTTTCTTTATTTGTCTCTTTTTTTTCTTAATCACCCATCTTTTACTTAATTAGTATATTGCTTATTTCTCAAATACTCACTTTCGTCTAAACCTTTTTACAAACAATTAAAGTTTTTGAGTGACTTTGAGTTTAATATATATTCCCTCCGTTCTTTTATAAGTGATTTTTAGGAGAATGCACGTCGATTAAGAAATCATTTAATGTTTGTTTATTTTTAAACTAAAACATCATTTATTATCTAATCAACCAATAAAAAACAATCTACATAATATAAATCGTCAAAACCAATAAAAAAGTAGTTAATTTTGTATTGAAAACTGAAAAACATCATCTATTTAAGAACAAAATTAGAAGCTTAAAACATCACTTATTAAAGAACGGAAGGAGTATTACGTAATACAAACTTTAGGTTTTTGTCCATGCAAAATAAGGTAAATGTCTTGTTCAAATTTCGAAACGGATATATGGAATGAAACTAGGTTCTTAAAGATAGTTTTTGACTACTTACGGATTTTGAAGACATATATAAAGTCAAAAACAATTAATCGCAATTGTTTCTACTCCTAGATCGGTTTGCGATTAGAGTTACCTGTAGTTATGTTTGATTCAGTTCAAGCGAATGACACATCTCGATAGAAAAAGTATGGGAAAAGGGACAGGATAAAAATATTTTTTTCTTTTAAAAGAAGATGGATTATTACATAAATCTTGATTAAATCAACTAAAATTATTACAATCACAGATCGAATCACACTTGCAAGAAACTGAATATGAAGAAACAGTACGTAAATACATATAGATGAGATAAATATCCATATTCAGAAAAAGAAAAAAAATGATAACACAGCCCAATCCTATTTTCAACAAGGGGCAAAAATATTTAAAATAAAGCATTAATATATAGATGTTCCCTCTCCGTTAATTGTGTACGGAATGTCCAATACCGGGGCTATGTCCAGGTGCCGTGGGTCTGAAGGTATCAACCCTGTGGCTCGGCGGCGACTCAAGTGGTTCAGCCGGTGGTGACAGCAACACAGGGCCATCAGCTCCGATTTCCTCAGACGTCGTTACGGTGGACTTGGTGAGTGTTCGGCCTTCAATGGAACCAATAGTAATAGTCAAAAGAAAGATAAATGCAAAAAGGTAAACATTAACTCTCGCCATTGATCAAAAAACCGAGACGAGAATTAGAAAAACAAAATTCTAATATGTATTATATAAGGCGAATATGTATTATGTGTTGATGCATGAAAGCTCTTGGACCATTTGGTGTATTTATAGGGATGAAATTTTACATCACATGGGCGCAACACTTGATGAGTTAAATTAAATATTTAGTTAAAGAGTCCGTGTGCTTTACAACGATTAAGTTTTAATTATATCAAAAATAAGTATTAAGTATTACTAATTAATTGAATTTTTTTTGTTTTTTCTCAATTCATATAGCTTGACCTTTCATGATTTAAACTTAGTTGTCCTTCCCCTGTCCATGGATATCCCGAATGGGTCCTATTTTTTTTTATTTTTTTTTAAATATCATTCGAAATAAATAATCAGCTTTTACAGATTTACTTAACCTATACAATTGATTTTTTTGGCAAAAAATATTAAAAACAAAAAAATAATAGAATCTGAGAAAACTCTTGGGAGAATTCATGGCAACCATAATATCATTAACTTGCGAAACTGAAACGGACTATTCTTCTCGATGTGATGATGCTTTAAATGTTACGGTCTATGCACTTGAATATTGATTGTGGAGTGATCAATAGCAAATTGTGCAATACATTGTTGCGCTTCTCCATGGACAAGTTTTATTTAGTTAGTTTAAGACCCATATTTACCTATACTTTTTTTTTAAAAAAAATGCTTTTTTTTCTGTGTAATATATAATAAATCAATTACAAAAATTAAGCTTTGTCTAGATATGTAATAAAAGATTTTGATAAGTATTCTATATTATTGTTTTTAGTCCCCAATTGATCCGAAATAACATTGTGTTTTCGAAGTATCTTTAATTCTATGATGAATTTTAAATAAATTTTTGTTGGATAAAAAATATGAACATATATTATTTGTGTTGTGTAACTAGAGATTCACAATAGAATGAGAAAGGAAAAAAAAAAAACATATAGATTTCTCCTTTCACTATTCGGTGTGAAAGAGAGGTGATACATAGCCCAAATGGAGATCCGCTGGAGAGGCATCAATGGCAATGAGCCAATGATGTTTGTGAAGGAGGATTTGTATAGTTTTTGAAGGTTACGGGCGCGATGAGTGCTAAAATTATCACACATAATATCTTAAAAGTTCATAGAAATTAGAAATCTTACCAAATGAGAGGAGAACACTGGCCGTTCTGCATATGCGATCATACTCTTGATTATGTCCGAACAATCAGTCTCAAAGCAAGGCATGCCTATCTGAATGCACTCTGTTTTGTCCATGCATGCTTTGAGTTTGAGACAAACAAAATATAGGTTATGCTTCTGTTAGCGTAAAAGGCTGACTAGGCCCATGGGGAGTGAATGATGGAGGCCAAGTTTAGTTATAAACTTTTACTAAAATATTACTTATTAAGCCCAACACGGTAATGCCAAACGTTGACAAGTTGATATATCAGGCTAAGCAAATTAGCATAACACAAAGATTAAAATTTTAGTATCAGTTTTATCTTATTTTACTCGGAGACATGTCCATCGTTCGTTTTTATGTTTTGACGGTTTTTTTTTTTTTGATTCTGCATATTAGCACGTGTTTTTCTATGTTTATTACTTTATTTTTATTGCAATCTGGCATTGTATACTATTTACCTACTTTCTCTTTTAATTTATTTTCAAAAGTTTTTCTTATAAATATTAAAATTTCAAATCTAAAACTACAAAACATATAGCATTCAAAAAGAAAATCATTTAGCCAAAATTTTCTCAATTCATCTCTTTTAAGAAATTAACACTTAAAATAATTCTTTTATAATTAATAAAATATTATAATCCCAACATCTATTCTATTAATTGGGAAGGATTACATAATATCTAACCTCACTAAGGGTAAATAATTACAATAGATGCCATTAGAATTTTAGTATTTCAAGTGAAAACACAGAATTTCGTCGAGGGGTATAATTGACAATTGGGACTCAAAAGGACGCGGATCTTGGAGATTGAATCGGATATCTATCTGGTAAATGAGACGGATCGCTGATACATCTGCGGTAAAACACAACTGGGCTTTATGTTAATTGGCCCATTGTTAATATCAGGCCTTATGTAACATATCTACAAACATTAAACAGAAAATTAGTTAGATAACACGTAAATAAATCTATTTTTATATCAAGCACAACTTAAAATTCGGAAAATCATTTATTCTATATAACAACCCTATTCAAAAATATTCCGTAATCACGTAATCAACCCGATTAAGGATAAACTTATTCTAATATTATAACACGTAATCAAATCTATTTCCATATCAATCACAACTTAAATTTTGCATAATCAAAGATACAAAAATTTTCCAAATCCAAACAACTCCATATAATTTCTAAATCATCACAAAATCTCCGGGATGCTATCAATTAAAATGCAATTAAATAATTTCCTTGTGCTGAAAAAATCTTTCCATATAAACGAAAACAATTAACTTCCTTTTTTTTTATATTTAAAATCATAAAATCTTTTCAAATCCATATTTGTTCTAAATCATACCCAAAAAATAGCATAATATCAATTATATACCTAAAATATTCTATTCGCATTTATCCTCTTCCCCGATAATTCTCTAAAACCTAGAAAATTATAGCCGTATTTCGATTAGTATAAATATATGATCCAATGTTATGTTAAACTCACCTTCTCAAGCTTTCACTCTTTCTCTACACAATCCCACTAAGAAAATGGCAGCTGAGCTAGCATTCACCACCCTTGCTGATGTCAAACCTTTCAAAACAGAATGGAGAATTCAAGTTAAAATTGTCCATTCTTGGACTCAATACACTCAATACACTGGAGAAACCGTCGAAATGATTCTTGCTGATACCTCTGTAAGTAACTATATCATTCTTATATACAAATAATCGTGTATCATATATACACCATAGTTTTGTATGTTTAACATGACTTATTTTTCAATATTCAGGGTACTTTGATCCATGCTACCATTAAGAAGCAACAATTGAACAAACTGCAAAGGTTCATTACCTCTGGGGAGTGGCGTATTATCGAGAAATTTACACTAGCCAAGTCAACAGGAAAATACCGTGCAACTAAACATGGTTTCAAAATGTCCATGATGCAAAAAACTGTAATAACTCGAACTCCTCCTCTTTCTAATGACATTTATTTGGATCTGGCAAACTTTCAAGATGTTTTGGATGAAGGAGGATTGAATGAAAACATCTTAATTGGTAATATATTTTTCTTTTTATTTTTAGTTATTATTCTTTGCATATTTTAATAATAGATATTCATCAAAAACCAAATATTAATTTCTTAATTTTGTAGATGTACTTGGACAGGTTGTTAGTTTCAATGAGATGAAAACTCATGATGTTAACAACAAAATCACAAAGAAACTTGATCTTGAACTCAGAGACACAAAGTAATTTCATATGGCTTTACCCTATTATAATATATCTTATGTTATTTGTACTTACAATTATCTCACAACTTATTTTCTTATATAGTGATGAACGGCTGAAATGTACTCTTTGGGGGAGATTTGCTGAGGCAATGTGGAATGCATGTCAAAATGCAGGCACTGAGAGGGTGATTGCCTTACTTCGTCTTGCTAAGATCAATTCATTCAAAGGTATAAAACGTTTTTGATAAAACATTTTTGGGATTTTTAAAGGCAGATCACAGAATATATTTATACTAATAGTACTCATTTTGTTAGGTGAAAGATCAGTTTCAAATGCATTTGACATGTCTCTGTTGGAAATCAATGCTACCTACCCTGCTGTTCTTGAATTTGTGGCCAAGTAAGATAGGGGCAAACTTAATATTGCTTTTGAAAATAATTAGATTGTATATCCTATTGATATTATGATAAGTTGATTTTTTTTTTTAATTGTCATGTAGTTTACCCCCTGATGCTATGCCTCTGGCTATCCAAGAAGTTAAGCCAAAACATGGGAATCAACTGATGAAAAAAAAGGAATACTATGATCGTTTTCCAAGGAAAACCATCTCTGGACTCTTTTGTTTTTCTGAGGTAATAGTTGTGATTAATACTAATTGCCTCTATTAGTAATAATTATGTTTAAAATACTAATTCTCTATTATTATGTATAGATTGGGAAATGCAACATAATTGTTACCATAATGAAGATCGACACAGACTACTCGTGGTATTTCTTTTGTTGTCTGAAGTGTCACAAAACTGCCTATAAGATACCAAAAGTGGAAAATGAGATTGCCAAAAAAGGTAAGAAAGAAATGTTTTGGTGTCCAACATGTAAGGAAGACACTCCTAAGGTGGTTCCAAGGTAACAATTTCCCATTTGATTATATAGCTATTATGTTAGTTAATAACTATCTATCTAACTTTGTATGAAAATCTTTTTATATGAAGGTACCTTTTAAACGTGGGAGTTATGGATAGCACTGGTGACACCAATTTTCTGATCTTTGATAAAAATGCACAAGAGATCATTGGCGTTTCTGCTGAAGATCTGCTTGAAGGAAACTGGGATGAGGTAAACAAATGATCATGTGTAAGTTATGTAGATAATAATTGTCCTACATCTAAAATATTATGTTGCTATTGTGATAACAGATTCAGGATCCAACAAACTTGCCTCAGCCAATCAAAGATTTGGTTGGAAAGACTTTCCAATTTCTGGTGACTGTTGGAAAAGAAAACATCAATGAAACAGATGATACCTACAAGGTTTCCACTATTTGGCTGGGTAATGATTTTGATAATCTAGATACTATTGAAGATTCTGACCAGCCGACTGACCAACATAATGATCTATCTATTGATCAGGTAATGTTAGTAGATGCAACCAAAATCATTCTATCAAAAACCTTTTCAAGTTTATCTCTAAAGGGCTGGATCGTTGTTACACTTAATTAGTGAGTACCCTGTGATATTACTAACAAATCTAGGATGTATCTATAGATAACTGAGTAATTTGTATCCTAATATATTCATAATAATCATGGTAAATGTTTGACTAATTGTTTTCTCTTGGATTAATAGGACGCACTTGCTTTGACCTATAGCAGTGAAACCACAGATGCTAATGGTCCTACATCATCTACTCCTTCTTCCAAGCGTAGTATTGATGACTGTTCTGTGGACTGTGAAGGTCAGAGTTCTACTACTAAAAAAGCATGTGTTCCTTCCATTCTTGGTGACATTGAGAAGGAAGAGATTGAAGTTGGGAAGAAATAAGTAGTGATGTATTGGAATAATGTAGGGAGCTTGGTTTGAGATGTGTTTTTTATTGGTTTTTTCTTTGCTTCAAGTTTTTAAAATTTCAGATGTTATTTGTTTCCTATGCAACTTTCTACTTCAAATCAGATTTATTTTGTTGAATAATATCTACCAAGTTTCTGCTTAATTTCAGTTCTTTACTAACTACCAATAAAAACTATAAGATTTTTCAAAGATGAATAAGCAAAAAAATAAGAGTTCACTAACCTTATAATTGGATTGCAATTTGAACTTGATCCATAACTTATAGTAGGTAAAAAAATCTGCAAACATGAAACAGATTCCCATGTTATTTATGTAATATGTTTTGACACGTGAACATGATCAAATCAAAAGAAAAAATAACTAACCTTAGAATTATAAAGCGGCAATTAACTTGAAAATAGGAAATCTATAAGTTAGAGTTGTCATCTAAATATCAAAACCTGAAAAAGATGATGTAGAACAAACTGTTAAAAACATTGAAGAAACTAATGACATACAATGAAGAAACTAATTAATGGTATTAGAATGAATATATTAAACAATACTGATTTAGCATAAATAATAATAATCTTTAAATAACAAAACACGAGATCAACAAAAGAGTATGAGATCTTTAATAAAAGATTCTAAAAATAAATAAAGGAGCAATCAAGTAGATTTGCAATTCCATATGGAAAACAAAATATGTCATATATAATTATAATCTTTTCAGTTATACGAAATCACTGTAAATATGGTTGTTTGGATTTATGGTCAGATCACTTCTAATCCAATTACCACTTTTAATCTTCATCTATTCTCCTAATCGAAGATATTGAAACAACCATTTTAAAGGTTTTTTCTTAAGATCTTAGAAGAATAATATCAGTCTTTTTCACAGAACAAATACTATTTAACATTTCTAACCTATTTATTGATTTTCAACAGAATGAAGAGACGGAAAAACACAACTCTCAAAGAAAATTTGAACGTGCAGCAGACACCTAAACCAAAGCGGTCTAGGTCTCAGCAGAATGATGAAAACATCAATCCAAATCAACAGAACCATCTGGATACGAGTGATGTTCAAGTTAAAGGAATTTTTGATAGACTAATGGTTGGAATAAGTAACATACCTTCACAGGCAAGGTCTACTCTGTCTCCTCTGACGGAAACTGGTCCTTCTTCTTCAACATATATGCCACAGGAAACAATAGGTATGTTAACATGGTTTTGTTAAACAGACCATTTATTAATGAAACTAACTATGCTGGCACAATAATGGTTTAGGCGATGAATCTACGGTTACTACAAATATGACTCTAAGATCAGCAAAAAAAAATGCTAGGAGTCAGAGAAGACCTTTTCAAGATCTGCAGAATTTTTCAAACTCAGCAGATATATTGAGTGAGGTTCAACATACACCGATGAATCCAAAAAAAGCACCAGAAAAGAAAGCAAAAAAGTATAGTCCTCCATCTGTTAACAGCAAACAAGGTATACAAATTATAATTTATTCATCTGAAAATGTATTTTCTCAAACCTGGGTCTTAACACAACAGGTTTAATAGAAGAAAACTAATAGTTGAATTTTATAAAATGTAGCTACTAAGGGTATTACACTTACCAAACCACAAAACTCTTTGAGGTTTGCCAAGTCTATTGCAAAGGAGAAGAATACATCAAACAATACGCCACTCTGTCCAATCAATGAAGAACACAATGATGAAGTCCTGCATTCTGAAGAAGAAACATATATTAATATGATTGATTATCAAAGCAAATGTAAGTGTGAATTTCTATGATATATTTTTACTAAACTTAACAAGCATTCATTCACTGATCTGTTTGAAAAACATAAATAGGCGGTTTGGAAGAATCACGTGAACAAGTTTACGATTGCAGTAGTGCAGATGAAACTGAATCCGAAACATCAGAATCAGATTATCAAAACATAGAGGATATCCCTACTGAACTCAAGCAAAGATACGAGTTTTTGTCAATGTTAGATGAAAGTTTGACTAAAGCTTTTGGAGAAAGGAAAACTACTAATGTTTCTAGCAGAAATAAACAAAACACAGGTATTATCTAAGGAGATTAATTTTGAATATTTTCTGAAACCAAGATTACATAAAGTATAGATTTCTGATTTTTGTCTCTGTTATTGTAGAGTACCTAGATCATGGAGATCCTATCTACTCATGTTCGTATTGTGGTGCTATAATGTGGTATGGAGAACGCATTAACAGACACAAGAAAGTTCGTAAACCAATATTTACTCAGTGTTGTTTGCAAGGATCAGTCAAATTGCCTTTCCTTTGTAATCAACCAGAGTTGTTATTTGCGTTGCTAACCAATGATGATGACATGAGTAGACACTTTAGAGAGAACATCCGAGCCTATAACATGATTTTTTCATTTACTTCTCTTGGAGGAAAATGTGATAACTCTGTTACTTTAGGTCGTGGTCCTAATATGTTTCAAATTCAAGGAGAGAACTACCATCAAATGGGAAGTTTGAAACCTGGAGAAGGTGAGTTTCCTAAGTTCAGTCAACTATATATAGTTGATACAGAGAATGAAGTTGAAAACAGAGCAGGAATTTTAAGGTATGTTTGCTATTTTAAAACTAGCAAACAGAGTTTCCATATAACATGTTTTATCTACAATGGAATGACGTTGCTAACTAGGTCCCTTTTATGTTGCAGCAAAGGGAAATCAACTGAGAAGTATAAGAAGAAGCCAAAGCTGAGAAAAGAAATCATTGAGGCCATAATTAAGCTGTTAAATGATGTTAATCCATACGTTGAGCATTTTAGGCAAGCTCGTGACAGGTTTAATACCAATCCTGAACAGAGTTTTCACATGAAAATAGTAAGCAATCGTGTCAAAGATGGAAGAACATATTCAGTACCAACAGCTTCAGAGGTTGCAGCGCTGATTCCAGGTGATTTTCATATTGGTATGCCAAGTCGTGACATTGTTATTGAAGAAAAATCTGGGTTTTTACAAAGAATCAGTGAAATAGAACCATGTTATCTTGCTCTGCAATATCCTTTGCTGTTTCCAAATGGTGAGGATGGATATAGACCAGGTATTTTAAAAGGAAATAATCATGGTAAAAAGAAGAACAAGGAAGAAGAAACTGAAGAGAATAAGTGCATAAGCTTGCGTCAATGGTATGCGTTTCGTATTCAAGAGAGAAAGAATGAACCAAGTCTCTTACTAAGGTCAAAACGGTTGTTCCAACATTTCTTGGTTGATGCTTACACTACAATTGAGGCCAATAGGCTGAAATATATTAAGCTGAATCAGTCAAGTTTGAGAGCTTCTAACTATGATTCTGTTAAAGAGGCGGCATCTTCAGGAAAGAATGATATGAATGAAGAAGGAAAAGCTTTTTATTTACCAGCTACTTTTGTTGGTGGTCCAAGATACATGAAGAATATGTACATGGATGCAATGTCTACATGCAATCATTATGGATTTCCAGATCTATTCATTACGTTCACGTGCAATCCAAAATGGCCAGAATTGGTAAGATTCTGTACTGAAAGAAATTGTAATTCCGATGATAGGCCAGAGATCATAAGCAGGATGTTCAAAATGAAGCTGAATTCTCTAATGGATGATTTAACGAAGAAACATATATTGGGGAAGACTGTTTCTTCAATTACAGGTATAAAACTATTTTTTTAACAAAATAAGCTTTAAATACTACTAAATTCTAACTAGAGTGTTTTATGGAGTTTTTTCAGATATGTATCAACATGTGAAGCTGGATGGAGAATATTGAAACATCCTATACATTATAGGTCAACGTCTGTTCAGAGATTATCCTTCCATCTACCAGGAAAACAACTATTATACTTCAAAGCTGATGATGAGGTGAAAACAGTTCTCCAACGTTCAGAATTACAAAATTCAATGTTTCTAGCTTGGTTTGAGTTGAACAAGCGGTGTCCAAAAGCAAAAGG